GCTGATACACATTTCAAGAATGCTAGTTGCAGGTATCGATGAAGGTATTCATCACTCATGCAAACATGTAACACAGAGCACCTTATAGCAAAAGCCTGATAAGAATCGTCCCGATGCAGCGCAGCGCGGCGGCATCGGGAGGCGCTGCCCGCGAGGCTGGCGCCGGCGGGCTGCCGGAGCTCGTCCCGTGCTGCGCTCGGGGGCATCAGCTGACTGGCCCTGCGCCGGCCGTGGGCGGCCGCCGCGATCGAGCGTAAGGTGTTGCGGTAGATGTTGGGGTGAGTTGCGCGGACGATGTGGCCGATAGTGTGTAGAAAGGGTTGACACCTTGCTTCAATGCGTCTTCAATGCTAACAGCCTCAATGCTTCTTCATTCGCAACGTTACACACCTTCCCGCTGTGTAACGTCGCGAATGAAGAAGGATTGAGGCTCTACTTACGGTATTACGTTGAACTCGAAACGAGGTCAATTTTACATTGCTTACGAGACATTAACTGACAGATGAGGACTTCTGTCATGCCAAGCAAGGGCGACGATGCTCTGTTCAAACAAATAGACGCTTGAGACCATCCAAAAACGATGCCCTTTGTAGTGCAGCTTTTCTTTAATTATAAAGGATGTTCCACGTTTGAAGATATTAAAGCAGGATGTTGGAAGGTATTGACTACCTCCGCAAACTAGTCTACACATCTTCAGAGGCGCAAGTTTGCCTCTGGTTTCCCATACGTGCAGCTTAACCAACACATTAGCTGATCTCATGCCCATGCCATGCGGGCCATGCGCCACATCTCTTTATCGAAAAATCATGCCAACACTTTAATTCGCACGCAGTTAGGAGTGGCGGTATACGATTCGGAATGTCCTTCCAGATTAAACATGTGTGGGGAGAAAGACAATCGAACATCACCAACTGCTATGTATTTAGCTGTTGCTTCAACGAGTGTCAATGGCTACAATGCGCACAGTTTTGGAGCAGTTTCAGCCAAAAACTATTACTTCGGGCCTGTGTGCCCATCTCACTGTTCACATGCCGAGCTAAATATTTTCACAGGATCACCTGCCATTTTCAAACCCCAGGTCGAACATCTTTTTAGATGAATAACCGATGCAAAAATACACACACTCGCCTGTTAGAATGCATGCAATTGGATCGATCGATAAATTTACCAGGCTGATGAACCGGTGATAAGGGACGGTTGAGAGCGTGCACCAAGTGAAGGAAAATCCGACTCTGGGTGACATTATAATGAGATAAATAAATGTTGATAAGACTTTCTGCTCCCTACATTAGGCTCCTCATTACTGATCAATGTTGATATAATGACCACATATCAAAATGTTGTAATTCGTGAGTGGCCTGCGCTAATAAACTAGATAACTCAGTACTGACCAGCATGCCCGTCGCATGGCACGCAGCGGAACCTGTCACCCGCAGAGCATCTTTTCGCTGTCGTGGCGGAGGAATAGACGGCTAGCTAGCAAGACGCTGCTCTTAAAGCGCTTGTACGCACCGGCCTGCACCCCATACTCAATCTGGAACAAGAGTGGCAGCCGGGCTACCGGTCTGATGCGCCTTGCCGGCTCTGTAGCTCCCTCCCGGGTCATGTCGACGCTCCACCAACCCTGCAGCTCTCTCCCGGGTCATGTCGACGCTCCACCGACCCTGTAGCTCTCTCCCGGGTCATGTCGACGCTACACCGACCCTGCAGCTCTCTCCCGGGTCATGTCGACACTCCACCGACCCTGCAGCTCTCTCCCGGGTCATGTCGACACTCCACCGACCCTGCAGCTCTCTCCCGGGTCATGTCGATGCTACACCGACCCTGCAGCTCTCTCCCGGGTCATGTCGACGCTACACCGACCCTGCAGCTCTCTCCCGGGTCATGTCGACGCTACACCGACCCTGCAGCTCTCTCCCGGGTCATGTCGACACTCCACCGACCCTGCAGCTCTCTCCTGGGTCATGTCGACGCTACACCGACCCTGCAGCTCTCTTTTGGGTCATGTCGACGCTCCCCCGACCCTGCAGCTCTCTCCCGGGTCATGTCGACGCTACACCGACCCTGCAGCTCTCTCCCGGGTCATGTCGACGCTACACCGACCCTGCAGCTCTCTCCCGGGTCATGGCGACGCTCTACCGACCCCGCAGCTCTCTTTTGGGTCATGTCGACGCTACACCGACCCCGCAGCTCTCCTTTGGGTCATGTCGACGCTCCACCGACCCTGCAGCTCCCTCCTGTGTCATGTCGACGCTTTACCGACCTTGCAGCTCTTTTTCGGGTCATGTCGACGCTCCACCGACCTTGCAGCTCTCTTTCGGGTCATGCTAACGCTCTACCAACCTTGCAGCTCTCTCCCGGGTCATGTCGACGCTCTATCGGCCCTGCAGCTCTTCCCTCGGCGATGTGCCGGCGGCTCTACTTCCAACGCATCAGGCCTCGTTTCCTTGGCACAACTTCTCCCTTAATGACTTATCTCCCGCGGCTAGTAAGAATTGGCGGAGAGCGGGTAATGGGGTGCTTCATGAGGACTTCACAACGGCGAGTTGTTGCATCATTTAGAGCATATGTCAGAGGCGCGCCGCACTGAGACGCTGTAGCTTCCATTGAGCGGTGTTTGGTGCATACATTGCGGACCTTTTGAGTCTACTCACTGAATGCATGCCCGTTTGACGCGCCCGTGCGCGTCGCATTCTGGCCGCCAGAGGTGGCGGACGGGCGAGAGGCTCCCCCAGCGCTGATCCGTGAGCTCGTTCGGCGCCATTATGCCCGCGCCGCGCTCCCCGGTCGCACGCGTCATCCCTGCGTAACAAGAGCTAACAACGGGCTGGGCGGCGTCAACCACAGGCCTGCCGCGCTTCTCCGGCCGCGTCCGGTGACGGAGCGGTCTCAGCGATCTGCGCGAGGCTGCCGGCGGGGGACTGGACGGCGGGCCACGCTGGTCTGGGCTGCTGCGTGCAAGGAGGCGCACCACGCCGGCGAAGACTCTCGGGTGCAGCGGGGTAAAGCGGGGATTGCTGGGATGCAGTTTGGTACACTACGCTGGTAGGGCTCCTGGGGCACAGTTTGGCTTACTAGGCTGGTAGGGCTACTGGGGCACAGTTTGGCTTACTAGGTCGGCGGGGCTGCTGGGGAACAGTTTGATGCACTGGGCCCATTGGGCTGCTGGGGCACAATTTGACTTACTAGGCCGGTAGGGCTACTGGGGCGCAGGTTGTCTTACTAGGCTGGTAGTACTGCTGGCGCACAGTTCGCCTGACTAGGTCGGCGAGGCTGCTGGGGCACAGTTTGATTCACTGGTCCCATGTGGCTGCTGGGGCACAGTTTGACTTACTACGTCGGTAGGGCTACTGGGACACAGTTTGACCCACTGCGCCCATGGGGCTGCTGGAGCACAGCTTGGCACATCGTGCTGGTGTGCCCGTGACGCACGTCACACGTTGGGAGCACGCCGTCCTAGCGCGGCCTCTGGAACACTGTGAGGCTCACCTGCCGGGTAGGCCATCTTATAATGCGGTACACCCGCTGACGTGAGGGTAATGGAGTACAGTGAGGCGCACCACGCCGGTGCAGGCGCTGCTGCTGCTGCATCACAGTAGCGGGAAGCTGCTGGGATGCAGTGAGCCACACCACGCTGGCTGAGGCTTCCGAGGTACGGCGAGGCCAGACACACCGACGTGGGCTTCAGAACTCCAGTGAAATGCAACATACTGGTGGGTCTTGGGTGCAGTGAAGCTCACCCGCGCTACTGGGAGCTCTTGGGGTAGCCGAAGCCCATCGTGCTGACGGACAGCTCAGGATACAGTGATGCGTAGTGTTGTAAACCATGCTGCTGATGCTGCAGGGGCGCCATGTAGTCTGCTCTGGTACGGTGAGGTAGCATGTTGCTGCAGCCTCTTGGGGCGTGTTGGGCACAGTGTGTGTTCTGGGGTACAGTGTGTGTTCTGGGGTACAGTGTGTAATCTGAGGTACAGTCGGGTACTTAATCCCGACTGGAGACTGTTGAGACACAATGAGAAACACCAAACCCGTAAGTCTTCAGTGCACTGCGAAGTACGCTGCAATGACAGAAAGGCTCTGGGGTGCGATGACAGACACGAGAATTACAGGAAGCTTCTGGGTTATGATGAGGTTCACCACAATGGCAGACAGCTCCTGGGATACGGTAAGGTACACCGCGCTGGTGTCTGCTCCTAGATACATTGAGATCAAACTGAGAGACCGCACTGTTACAGACCTCCGTTCCACAGTGAGAGACGCCACACTAGTGGCTGAAGTAAGCTGCACCCACACTGGGGGGGGGGGGGGATGGGGAGGGGCTCCTGGGGTAAATGAGGCACGAAACGTTGCTGGGGCCTATAGGGTGTAGTACGTCCAGGTACGCTGTACAAGTGGGCGCTTCTGGGGTACATCGTGATTTGCCGGATACAGCAAGGTACATAACGTTTCTCTGGTCTTCTATGGTTCGTTGGGGTACGGTGTGGGTTGTGTGGTGCAGTGAGGTGTACCACGCTAGTTGGTGGGTACTGGAACGTAATGATGCTCACCACTCTTCTACCTGCGTATTGAAATACACCACGCTGGCGGGGCTGTCAGAAAATGGCCAGGTATGTACATACCCACTGATTTGCAACTGCTGGGGCACATGAGTGACACTACGCTGGTGGTGGGGGTGGAGGGGGTGGGGGGTGGAGACTCTGCTGTACAACACTGAAACCACACTGGCGAAGAGCTGCTGGGGTACGAGATGCATCACTGGCGGGATTGCTGGGTGAAACCGAGTGCTCCACGCTCAGAGGCAATGTTGAAGTCATTGCCACATTTAGTGGAAGCAGTGTCTTCATTCCCAGAGCCAGTGGCGTGAGACAGTCCGGCAGGGGGCGTCACCACACACCGACAGCTGCTGCCAGGAGACAGGCTTGCCGACGCCGACGGCAGCCGCCACTCGCAGCCACGCCGAGCGCTGAGCTCCCAGTGCCGCGCAGCTGCGGGGGCAGGCGCCCGCGGCCGCGGAGGAGGCCGAGGGCACGACGAAAGGGGCAGCCAGTCGCCGGCATCAGGCCATGAAGGCGATGAGACTGACGATCCAGGGTACGGCCCACCAGGCGGAGAGCGCCGCCTCCCCCGCGGAGGGCCGACGCCGCAGTAGTCCTGTGGGTGGCGCGCGGCTCAGACACGTCACGTGACAAGACGAGGCAGGACGGCTCGCGACTCGTCGATCTCCAACTGCCAGTGAGCCCGCACACAAGTCCTCAAGCACAGGAAACAATCGCTGCAGCTGTAGTGTAGAGCTGACGTTAAGCGCCTCACTCCTCAAAAGGCAGCATCTGATGCCCGCTCCGCACTGGTCACTGTATACTGTCAATAGTGGAATCGTGTGGTGAGATTCTCATTAATGCCGCTGGAAGTACGCGAACACGGGATCTGACTACGCTACGGCAGGAAGACTTAAAGATGTTTTCTGAGTGTGATTGACCCGCGGGCTTATGACAGCGTACGTCCAGATGGTGTCGACCACCTTCGATGGCTCAAATTTGCTTATCAACCCTCCCCTAAGGCTACATGGTGTTCAGAGGTTTGTTGGCCCCATCTCTTCATAAGCTCTCTTGCGAAGGTGACGTCACTGATTCTTTGATCCAACCATGAGCGTTGCCTTTCTCCCCCTGCAGGTGGTGCCCCCAAGCCACACACAGCACACACTCCAGACAGGTGCAGGCACTACATCCGACCGGAGGCACACCGCCGCCAGCGGCCGTCGGCGCCGCCGGCAGTCGGGACGTACCGCGCCCGGGCTGGGGCCGCTGCAGCGTCTCCCGCAGGCTGGGCATCATCTCGTTCCAGAATGCGCAGCCGGTGGCGCGCGGCCCGTTGCCCAGCCCCCGCACGCGTCCGTCGAAGATGTAGTACTGCGGCTGGTTTCGGGAGTATATTGGCCAGCTGACGCCCTCACGGACGGGGCTCCTGCGGGGCAGAGGTCACGCTGTGACGTCAGACCACCGGCTCTGCGGTAGAGGCCTTCACGGGTAAGGTTTCTTGTACCCAATCCACCCAACCCAACGGCTGTCAGCAAACAAAACTTGGCAGATCATTTTCCGAAAACGCGCATGTCACGCTCTCATCTCTCATGATATAATGCACACGGTTGTTTACACTTTACTTGGGGACAGACTGATCTAGACCTGTGGCTAGATGCGAAAACCCACAGAGTTCCGTGTTTACGAAATCCTGGCACCTGATCTTGGGCTCTTTTGGGGATACATGTCCATAGGTACATGCCCGTGAACATGTGCATAGGTATATGTCGGCGTGTGGCCTTTCGTTCTCTGGACATAATCTTAGACGAGATCTTCCACAAACTCAGCTGGAGGGTTTGCCAACTCCTCACAGGCCTTCTGTCTGACCTGCCCTCTTGTGCATGACAGAGCCGAAACTTTCGAGCAAGAGCTCAAGTATTCCCGTCACTTGCATTTTACCTGGCATTATCAAAATAAAGAATGACACGACATAAGGATCCCGCGATAAGGTATGAAAAATGTAGAACCTGAACTTATGGGCAATTTGGCTAGTGGGCGACTGCGATTAGGTAGCAATTGTTTGTTAATTATAGTGTCAATGTGATCACCACATTATTGGCTGGGGAAGCCGTCAAAATTAAAAGACTACGTGAAAGCCATTAGTAGCGTCTCGATGTCTAAATATGACCCCACATATTCGTGAGAACATCCTCATTTATCTGCACTGGCCGCGGCTTGAACAATCGGTTGTGGAATGCCATGGTCGCATAAAGACGGCGGGCACCTACATCGAATTCACATGTCCCAAAACGGCAGTTTACCGATCCTTCCATTCAGATGGCCGCTCATTAGCGCGGGGCATTGTTTCACAATCGTTGCAAAGTGGGGCTGATTGCGTTTAGCTGTGCCGTAACCAGAAGTCGACTGTCGCGCGGGCACCCAAGTCCCAGGGAGCCAGCCAGCAACACCATCCATGTCTTCATGTCGTTCTCTCTTTGTCATACATCCACTCCACTTTTGTCTTGGCCAACCTTTCTGGGTAGCGCCACTAAACAGGCGTGCGGAGCTCAGCGTCGTCAGGGGAAAGGGGCGGCTTTGGGCGGTGCTCTGACCATACTTAGGTCAGGCCACTGTCACTGGCTGCGCTGCGCTTAGCAGCCTTCAGACCAGCTAGGTTTTGTTGGGAGCACGGCGACGACCCCACCTACAGCGGCACATGCATGCGCCGAGGAGAGACTGTACAATTATACGTTAGCATCAGGATATTGTAATGCCAATTGCTATCAACGCGCCGGTCAGCTGCAGGAAGATAAAGAATGATCAAAATAGGTAGGCTGATACCATATATTTTCAGTTTGTGCCTTCTTGATCTGTAGACAAAGCATGCAAATTTTCTGAAAAGGAATAGGTGGAGTGGAGGCCGATGTAGTTTTGGACGGAAACACATTCATTATCTTGCACTCATGGCATTTTTAAAAACCCTGCAAACATTTGGAAAATAATTCGCCAAATTGGTGTAAGCCAATCTACTCCAAGCAATGTTCGACATTCTACAAATATCGGCATGCCTGAAGTTTGATGAACCATTAGTTGTTATGACAGCTGAATTGTCTGTCGACTAATCGTAAACAATGTCTAAAACCGTCATGCCTTTACTGAGCTCTGCGAGTGAATGCTGAATCATACGGATTCAAGGAGCAAGAATCGAATCAGTCCTGGTTCTGCATCATGTCCAAATAAGGTCGCTTGAATCTAACTTGACTTTACCGATTTAGGATTTTTCTTGACTGGATTCTGGACCTGAATTGGCATGGTGAGGTAGTAAACACCGTTCTTTTAAATTCAATGAAGCTGTTTTTTTGTGCGCTGACGACGAATCGGAATACGGATTCTATTAAAAGTTAAGTTTACGGGATCTGTTAAATTAAGGCGATGATCTATGTATGGCACGAAGATGATCTCACGGCACATTTCATCTAACCAAGGATCATAAGCCGGAACGACAATTTTCGTGGAATAAATTGTGCAATGGGCAGGCAGCATCCTGAAAGTTAGAGGAGAGATAGCGCTACCCGGATTCCGCTAATGTTTAGCGGAATCTGGCCAGATAGTAAGAATTACTAGCATCCGCCCCGGGCGTGTGATAAGCGCAAGGCGCAAAGTCCGTACGGTAGCAAAACCTCCTTGCACTCCTTATCACTTTGGGCGAACCACTATCTAGACAAGTTTAAAACTGACTGGCCTGAAGTTTCCTCGGTGTTCTTCCGTGTGGACCGAGTGGAGCAGCACCGCTTGCGTGTATGCATAAGGACGGGACCCATTGGACCCGCGAACGATAATATACATGTGCGTAGCTACGCATGCATGCATGCCTAAATATATTTCATTAAAGTTGGGAAACCAGTTTGAATCGAATTAGAAATTTGATGAAGTTGTGTGATTGTGTGATTGAAATTTTGTGATGTCCTTGCCACGGTACGTGAACTCAGCTACCCACATGTAGATTAACTAGTCGCAGACACTGATACGGTACTTGTAATCAAGCTCATCGTTATATGTAATGTGCAACCTGCTCTGAGTGAGCCGCCAGTGGTTGGTCTGGTGACAGATAGCGTGCCTCAGGCATCTGCGGTGGCTCTTTTGCAGCTGCATACTGCGCAGCGAGTTGACATCATGTTCCCTCAATTTTAAGCCCCTGTACACCTGGAATGTTAAAAATGCAAACAGTAAAGACGGTCTAAGTGAGGGATGTGCATTTGGGAGCATATTTCACTGCACAAGCAGGCACCGTTAATCTTACTGTCGGCTGGTGTCGCATCAATATGAAGTGAATCTCAGCTAACATTCGTAACTTTGTAACACTCACGTATCATGCGGACAGAGCGGCCGTGTGACGTGCGCCAAGTTCTCAAGGCGTCTGATTTATGTTATGTGGTTGAGGTTCCCGCCTGCTCGCCACGCAAAGAGCCCCAGCCTGTTCGGCAACCACTTTGACGTCGGCATAGTACCACACCCAGCCAATCAGCATTGATTTGCACCGCGCTAACGTACAGTGCGTGCTTTAGCTTTTATAGTAGCTGAATTAGTTAGGTAAACCTGATTATCCAAGCTGTCCATGCTTGCGCTGATCAGCGTTCCGCTGCATGTTGAAACACCACGCTGATTGTTACCAGAGCTTTCTGGAATGTGCGGTGGTTTTACCTCAATATCTGTTTAAACTACGGGTGCAACAAAGTTTTCCTTCCCGTCGTGATCACAACACACTTGTTTCCAAATCTGGCAGCACATCGGAGCAAGTACTGCGTCGCAAGTATGCGCTGTCATCTCTTGGCTGTCGTTAACAGCCGCAGATGCAAGCAAAATGGACGCTGAAGCGCACCCGCTACTGTGTATGCCTGCGACCCAACAAAACAGCCATGACTAATTTGCACAAACAATATCCCGGCTGATATCGCATAGGTCGGTGGATCTGGAAAAGCATGCAACTTATGAACATAGCGCATACGTATCATTCCGGCTTATCCCGAGCCGCGTTCTCCCTCATGTCCTGAAGAACAACTGCACCAGACATTTCTTACCGACCGCTGACTCCAGACCCGCGCCGCCGACAAGCCCAGTGAGACGCCAAAAGTCTCCCCCGGTTCCCTGCCCTCGTTCACTAACTCGGCGGGCCACGCCTACCAGGCGAGGCCGCTCTCACGTCATGGGGCGCCTCCAGCTGCGTGACGCAACCCGAGCCAACCGCGTGACGCACCCGGAGCGAGCGTGACGCGGCTTACCCCGTGCGGATGAAGTTGGCGTAGTGCTCTATGATGCGTCGGCTGAGGTTGGCCTCGGCCGCCGTGTAGTGCAGGCTCTGGTTGATGGGGTTGCCGAGCACGTAGTCAATCTCGTCGCCGTGCATCACGCCCATCCAGTCTCCCCACGGGTTCAGCGAGGTGCGCTGCAACACGCGGCTGCAGTCACGGCACGCGGCGTCCAACGCGTGCCGGCCCGCCACGGCACGTGCGGCACGCGGCGGGCGCGCGCCGCACCGGGTGACACGGCAGCGCGGTACGTCTGATGCCGGAAGCCGCGACGGTCATGTGCGGTTTGGGTGGCGAATGAGGTGGGTTGTTACCTTATGCGACAGGGCGCGACACCTCACCGCTTCTGGAACTCAGCGGAAGGTAAAGAATGGCGAGTAAACCTGCCGTTTGTTAAGGCCCCCTCATGGCGAACCAGCGCAAGGGCCTCCGGAGTCACGCGAGAGGGCGATTCGACATACTCCCAGAGCCCACACGTGGGTCGCTGTGCTGCGCGCCACAGTTGAGCGGCCGGTGTTAAGCTCAATCATATAACAACTTCTGAGAGTGTTTTGTGAGTGTGTGTTTAAAGCGAACTGTGCAGGACACACACCTGTCACGCAGACCAGTCCCCGAACCAAGCCGCATGTCAAGACGAGCATGTCCGTGCCTTTGAGGCTCACAACGTATTTGTGTTCTCTCTTCCTCTCAACATTGATACCATATGATGCTTGTTGCAACATGGCGGCATACGCACAGCATGCAACCCAAATATCATTTATGGCCAATCGTTTAGACGGTACCGCTTTTTTACTGTCTCAGTTAGCCTAAAGCCATGTCCGAGGGAGGCGGCGGGGTAGCGTTAATAACTCGTTCCTCGCTCTGTCCACTCGGGTGTGGTAAGCACAGCGCATGCACGCGTCTGGCGCAGCAGGAATGCAGTGGCGCGCTCAACATCAGCTGGATCACTCCCCTTGCCGCTATATTCAGAAGTCAGAACATTCTACAATGATAATCAGATGCGTGTGTTGCCATGTTGCCGCCAGACGTGAGATGTCTTATAAAACAAAACGCAGCCAAGTTCTCTAGAGCACAACGCTGTCCGTCATGTCTGCAGCGAGGGGAGAAAACGTCATGCCGATATATAAACCGGCAAATGCGAATCGAATCACAACTCAGGGCTTCCGCCGGCGCTGCGTCATTCTCTTACGGCAGTGTCACGCATTTGAATAAACCGAGGCAAGCATCAGGCATGATGAAATAAGTCCACTTATTGATAGACTTAAGTGGAAAAGACTGCTCCAGACCCTCTGATTTCTTTGTTTAGTAAATATGCTCCTAAATGCGTCATTGTTTGATTATGTCAAGTTTACTATTTCAGGTCAAAACCCCATGCAAATGTGGACCACTCCCTTTAAACAAACACGAACTCGTGTAACGTTTACGGAAGCTTACTGCACACGACTTGAAATGTAGTGTCTTACCTTTGGGGAAATTTCAAAAGCACACGCTGGTGGAGAAACTCAGAACCAGCTACGTCTAATGATAACATTTGGTAGTATCATTGTAGAACTGTCGAGACGCATCCAGAATGCTAATTTTAATCAGTTATGGGTCCAAATTCCGGTTTTTGTCAACACTTCTTTGACAGATTAGTGTGTTAGAAACACTACAGAGCACACGATGGAAACAGCAAGGTAATGAAATATATGACCTTCATATTGGTGAGCAGAGTCCAATGATATTTCTCCCGCAGGAGCGGCTAATTCCAAACGAAATTCTGAGCCACAAGTGGATTTCGAGAAGCTGATATTACCGATCCAATCAGACGCGTTCAACCTAATAATAAGTGAAAAGTACAGAACTGACCGCGTCTGCAATCCACTTACCTGCGTGAAAAAGTAGTAGTAGACATTCATGCCCTGTGCAGCGAAAGACTGCGCGGAAGTAGTTCGTGGGGCACACAAAGTAGTAGTCCCCAACCACATCTCCCAGCATCTTCTGGTTGAGATATCCGTCGTCAATATGGTCCCAATCGGTGTACTGCAAGCAAGCAGAATTCGTGATCGACTATGGCTTTGATGATACATTCCCAGTCAAATGAGATAGTGCGCTTTCGTCAACTGACCGTGGCGAGGCGGCTCAAGCGGCCCCAGACGCCTGCCATTTACCCCTCATTGGAGTAATCTGCAGCCGGTGGCAGAGGTGTGCGCTAAAGGTCAGGAGACATCAGCGGGCAGGACGGACCGCACCGAATCTCACGACACGTTAAGTTTTCGCGGCGAAATTCTACCGTTGACGTGGAATTTCAAGACCGGATGGTGAGGATGGAGCTCACGCGACAATCACGGCTTAGCACGGACGGCATGATGGCAACGGCATGATGGACACACACATGGTATGCAAGTCTGCTAACTTGTTGGGCTGCCTTTCTGTGTTATATGCGTTCGCTTCTCGCCTGTCCTCATATTATACAATGCGGACATGCATGTACCACCGCAGCAATAATTGAATTTGCCCTCGGTCTCGTCGCCCGGTGTCAGGACGCTCTTAGAACGAGCAGCTGCTAATGTTATACACTCACCTGGAATATAATGGCCAGCTTCTCCATTTCCTCCCAAGACCCAAAGATGGCTTCAATAATTTCCAAAAACTTGGACCTCTCCAGGAAGCTTGGGTCGTCCTTTTTGAAGAACTGTATGAAGTCGTAGAGGATGAAGTACGTACCTGAAATACGAACACCGAATTCATCTGTGGCAGCCAATTCTGAACCTGCTATATCGCCAGTTACTTGTCCATTGGATGCATAGTTGGCGTGAAACCCGTCCATATTGCGGAGTCATGGAAAAAGCATTGTCTCGCATGCCAGTACGCCCCTTACGCCCAGGGGAAACGCGATGGGACAACCGAGGGACATGATGTGCAGGACAACGAGGGACATGATGTGCGGGGACAACCGAGGGACATGATGTGCGAACCGAGGGACATGATGATGTGCAGGACAACCGAGGGACATGATGTGCGGGACAACCGAGGGACATGATATGCGGGACAACCGAGGGACATGATGTGCGGGACAACCGAGGGACATGAGTGCGGGACAACCGAGGGACATGATGCGGGACAACCGAGGGACATGATGTGCGGGACAACCGAGGGACATGATGTGCGGGACAAACGAGGTACATGATGTGCGGGACAACCGAGGGACATGATGTGCGGGACAACCGAGGGACATGATGTGCGGGACAACCGAGGGACATGATGTGCGGACAACCGAGGGACATGATGTGCGGGACAACCGAGGGACATGATGTGCGGGGCAACCGAGGGACATGATGTGCAGGACAACCGAGGGACATGATGTGCGGGACAACCGAGGGACATGATGTGCGAGACAACGAGGGACATGATGTGCGGGACTATTGAGGGACACGATGTGCGGAACTATCGAGGAACATGGTGTGCGGGACAATCGAGAGGCATGATGTGCGGGACAATCGAGAGACATGATGGCGGGACTATCGAGAGACATGAGTGCAGGCTATCGAAGGACATTATATGGGAACTATCGAGGGACACGATGTGCGGGACTATCGAGGGGCACGATGCAGAACTATCGAGGAACATGATGTGCGGGACTATCGAGAACATGATGCGGGACTATCGAGGGACGATGTGCGGGGACAATCGAGGACATATGCGGGAACTATCGAGGCACGATGTGCGGGACTATCGAGGGACGATATGGGACTATCGAGGGATGTCGGAACATGATGCGCGGGACTAT